TACTGTATCAATTCATCTCATCCTGGGTCTTTCTTTTGCTGTCCCTCCACCCTTCCAAGGATGATGTCTTTCTCCAAGGACTGGCCCCTCCTGGAAACATGCCTGTAGTATGTCAGTCAGAGCTTCAAATTCCTTGCCTCCAAGAAGTAACTTGGCTTCACCTTTTCCTGGACAGATCTGTTTGTTCTTTTGGAAGTCAATGGTATGTCCAATTCCACAACTCAAAGACATCAATTCTTCTTCTGTCATCCTTATTCATTGTCCACCTTTCTGATGTGTAGCAAGTAATTGTGAAGACCATGGTCTGGATCAGGTGTGCCTTAGGTCCTAGACTGACATTGTTGCTCTTTAGCATTCTAGAGAGGTCCTTGACAGCAGATTTTCCCAGTGCAATTTGTCTTTTTATTTCCTGACTGCAGATAACTACTTTAATAAATGTTGAACTTGGATATCTATTAGCAGAAAATTGAAACAAGATCCACACCTCACACCTTATACTAAAGTCCACTCAAGATAGAGCAAGGACACAGATGAAAAAATTTGAAATATAAAGATTATCAAAGGAAAAAAACTGGAAAAAACAAGCTCTATCTATAGCATTAAGAGACTAGCAATCAAAACCAAAAATGCACAATCAGCTGTGGGTGAACTAGAAAATTAGTTTTGGCTAGGTTCGTAAAACCTTCTCCAAAATAGTAAATAGAGAACCTAAGCACAGTGGAAAAAAATATTTGACAGTTATGCATATGACAAGGTACTAATCTCAAAAATTTACAGAAAACTCCACTACCTCAACAAGAAAAAGACAATTCAGTTGCAAAATGAGCAGAGGACATGAACAGACATCTCACCAAAGAAGATACTCAGATGGTCAACAGACACAGAAATGCTCAAAACCATGAGTTGTCATAGGGATGCAAATCAAAACAATAAGGTATCACCTCACCACAGGAAAAAAGACCAACCAAACCAACCAGTATTCAAGAAGACATTAAATAACAAACGCTGGTGAGAGTGTGGCAAGACTTTCATGCCCTGTTTGTTGGGTGGGAATATAAAATAGTGTGACCACTATGGAGAGCAGTTCTGTGCTTTCTTAAAAAGTTGAAAATGGAAATACCACTTGATCGAGAAATTTCACTACTAGGTATATATTCTAAAGAATGAGTTGTTCATAAATATGAAGTGATATATGTATGCCATATTTATTGTAAAATTATTTACAATAACAAAGAGATGGATACAACCTAAGTTTTCATCAAGGAATGGTTAAAGAAACTATGGTACATTCACATAGTGGAGTACTATACAACACAAAAGACCAGTAAGAATTTGCAAGACACTGTATAATATATGGAGGAACTTAGAGGACATCATACTGAGGGTATTAAGTCAGTCACAAAAAAGCAAATATTGGGGAGCTCTGGTGGCCTAGTGGCAAGAAGCTGTACTGCAATCCCAAAGGTACATGGTTTGAATCCACCAGATGCTCTGCCGGAGAAGGAGGGACAATTTCCTCCTGTACCAGTCAGATCTGATTTGACGGTACATGCACAAAAAAATAACAAAAATTTAAAAAAGCAAATATTGTAGACCACTGTTATAAAAAATGTTAAAATTTTTATACATACATAGAATAATTATTGTGTAATTACCTCAATTGGGAAGAAAAAGAGAGGGATGTAAAAATTAATAAACAGATAATAGACACAAAATTGTGGTCGCTTAGCGGTAAGGCATTGTGCCGCCAACCCAAAGGCTTGCAGTTCAAATCTAGCTGCTCCTCCATGGGAGAAAGATAAGCAATCTCCTCCTGTGCCATTTACAGCCTCTGAAAACCCACTGGAGGGTCAGCTATGAGTCAGTTCCAACTCAACAGTGCATAACAATAACACTTATTAAGATAGGTGAACAGAAAGGCAGTATACAACAAAGAAATGTATATGAATGACTGGATGAAAAACCAGGATGCTTTATAAACTTTAACTCAAATCATAACAAACAAAATACAGGCAAGAAAACTATGAAGCCGTTCTCTTCTGTCACTTAGCCTTGCTATGAGGCCATGTCACCTCTCTGGCACTCAGCAAGAAGAAACTGGGGTGAAAACACACAGACCACATGGTTTTCGCCCAAGGCTAAAAACACTCTTTTTTTCTGCTTCTTTTTAAACAGCGATTTAGGTGAAAGTTTACAGAGAAAATGAGTCTTCCATTCAATAGTTTACATATGGGTTTTTTTGGTAACATTAGTTCTATTTCCTTCTTCGAAAGGCACTCTTTGGAATTCTTGCTGGGTTCCCCATATCAATTCATCCTTCTTTCCTGCCACTTCCTGCCCTCTGAGCTTTGTCTGGGGACAGGTTATGTCCCTTTGGTCTCTTATGGCTAATTGTTTTAAGGAGTATGTTCCTTCCTGGCGTTGTTGTTGTTAGGTGCCACTGAGTCTTCTCCTACTAATAGTGACCCTGTGTACAACAGATGACTATCTTGCCACATCTTACGTCATCCTCACACTCTCTTCTGTGCTTAAGACCATTGTTGTAGCCACTGTATCCTGGAATTACTATTCAATGTATGCATCTGTGTGTTGTGTGGCTTCAAGGTGATCGCCAGAGATCTAGCTTCAAAGGGTGTCTCAGGACCACAGTTTCGGGTGTTTCCACAGTCACTATCAGAATAATGGTCCTTTTCATGATTTTTCATTTTCTTCCACATTTTTCCTTCTCTTTCTATCCAGGACCATTCTACAGTCCTGATCAGAATGTAGACTCCCTCACTTTCATTCCAAGGTTATGTCCTGCTTACTATTTTCTTAAAATGCCTTTTTCTTTTAGGATATTGTGTTTGAGACAGTTGTTTTAAAAAAAAATAAACTTGCACATTGTTGTTGTTAGGTTTCATCGTGATGACTGTGACTCCGAACGACCCAAAAGGAACAGATAGAAGCTTGCCTCATTCTACACCTCCTCACACCCCCCACTACACTCAATCCCACTGTTGCAGTCACTGTGTCAGTTCAGCCTGGTGAAGGCCTTCCTCTCTTTCACTGACCCTCTCCTTTCCCCAGCATGATGTCTTTTTCCAAGGACTGGAAAATCCTTGGCAGCATGGCCAAAACCCAGTCTCAACCATCCTTACCTGTAAGGAGCACTCTGGTTGCACTCCCTCCAAGACAGACTTGTTTATCTTTTGACAGCCCATAGGATATTCAATACCATCATCATCATCACCATAATTCAAAGGCATCGATTCTTCTTTGGTCTTCCTTATTTACTGTCCAACCTTCAGATGCACCAGAAACAATTGAAAACACTGTGATTTGGGTTTGGTGTAACTTAGTCTTGAAACAGACATCCTTGCTCAATATCACTTTAGGGAGGTGCCTGAGAACAGATTTTCAAATGCAATTGTGGGTCTAGGTAAATAAATCATTGACTTGTAAAATGTGAAGGAGAATTGAAGCACTTACTGAAGATCAAAGACTATCACTTTCAATACAGATTACCTCTCAACATCAAGCAAATGAAAATCAGCACAACTGAACTAACAGGCAACATTATGATAGTATGGTATGGGGGGAAAACGTGCATGGCACATGAAAAAGTTAGCAAACCTATGTGAGTCCTTAAAATTTACAACAGTATAAATATCCTGACCTATCAAGAAAACAAAGATTCTCACCACTGGGTCAATTGGCCACAGCACAATAGATGGTGAAGAGCTTGAGATTGTTGACAGCTTCAGTTTGCTTGGCTCTACAATCAACATTCTTGATACCAGCAGCTAGGTAATTAAAAGACAAATTGCACTGGGAAAGTCTGGGGTCAGAGACCTCTCAAAAGTACTGAAGAGTAACATTGTCAGTCTGGAGACTAAGGTGCACCCAATATAGGCCATGGTCTTTGCCATTACTTGCTATGCATCAGAGAGCTGGACAACAATTAGGGATGATAGAAGGAGAGTTGGTGCCTTTGAGCTGTGGTGCTGGAGAAGAGTATTGAATACACCATGGACTGCTAAGAAACGAACACGTTTGTCCTGGGTAGGGTGAAACCAGGCTGATCCTTGGAGGCAAGGATTCTGGAGCTTCATCTGACATACTTTGGACATGTTGCAAGGAGGGTCTAGTCCTTGGAGAAGGACGTCATGCTTGGGAGGGTGGAGCGACAGCGCAGGAGAGGAAGACCCTTGATGAGATGGATTGATTCAGTGACTGGGGTAATGGGGTTAGGTGTGTCGGAGAAAGTGAGATTGGCACAGGATAGGGCAGTATTTAGGCTGTTTTCCATGGGGTTGCTATGAGTCGCAGGCAACTCAATGGCACATAACAACAATAATAAAAATAATGTAGCCCTGCAGGCTGGGAACCACTGCCTTAAGTCTCCAGGAGGAGTTAGCCAAGAGGAAAGCAAGTGGGGATATGTGCATGCATATTTGCCCAAGAAAAGACTTTAAAGAATTCTCAGTCTTTCACAGTCATGCTCTTTTCTCACCTAGGAATCACTTTCCTGCCACAGATAAGATGCTCTCCAATTATGAAGCAGCAAAGGGACTGGGCATGGCAAAGGGAGAGGACCCAGCTCACATGGCTTACTCGGCCCAAATCAGGTGGACTCCGGTCCCTAATTCTCAGTTCAGTGACCTCTAGAGGCTCTTCCCTGAGCCACAGCTTTGAGACCATCCTCGGTCCCACACAGGTTATTGATGTGCTCCCCCAGAGTCCCTCTTGAGAGAATATTTTAAAACGCTACTCCGTGAGTGGTCAAGCTACAGTGTCCTTTAAGTGACCAGAGGCCAGGCCTGAGCAGGCTTTTCTGCTACTCCTGCTCTCTCCTTCGGCCTGCGTGCTGACTGCCCTGCTGTTGCCCATGCACAGATCAGGCACAAATGTCAGCAACCTTAAACTATCAATGAACGCTGCCGAGAAGTGCCTGGGCGCTTAAGTGGTTTCGTTCCTGACTCTGCACGTCACTGGCAAGCTTTTCTTTCTTTTTTTTCCCAGGTTAATAATTTATTGTACAAATTAAGCATCATTTGATGAGTTGACATTAGCTATTCCAGGTAAGACAAATTAGCAGAGAAGGTACAGACAGTTTAGAATTCCATTTATGTTGCTTTCACAGCTGGAGTATTTTTAGACTTTAACTTGAAGTATAGAACAAGCAAAGCAATGCTCCCGTATGTGGCCAGTACACAATTCATTCTACCTGTGAGTGTATAGGAGTTGAAGTATTTTTTAATACCAGTGAACTGGAATTGAGCATCACTTTCTGGACCTGCCATGATTTTAATCTAGCCAAAGCCACAAATTCCACAGCCTGTGTCCTTCAACGTATAAAGCCGACCCTCCTCTTTCTTTTATTTAAATTTTATTTTATTATTTTTGTGTGTGTGTACCGTCAAATTGGATCTGACAGGTACAGGAGGAGATTGACCCTCCTTTGAACTGCGTACCTCTGGGACTGCAGTGCAGCTTCTTGCCACTAGGCCACCAGAGCTCCCTCACTGGCTAGCTTTTCTTGAGCAGATGATTTGACTTCTAAGGGTCATTTCTTCATCAATACAATTGTTTGGTTTTTTAAAAAATTTATGGTTAATTTCAATGAAAATTTACAGAGACTTTGGGTTTCCATTCATTCATTGTAGCACTAATACAATTGTTCTTGTTGTTGTATGCCATTGAGTGGGAACCAACATATTGCTGACCCTCCAGTGGGTTTTTAGAGGCAACAAATTGCACAGGAGGAGATTGCCCATCTTTCTCCCAAGAAGCATCTGATGAATCCAAACCACGAATCTTTATGTTGTCAGTGCAAATCCTTACCACGAAACCAGAAGAATTGAGGCCTTTGAACTGTGATGTTGGAGAAGAGTGCTGAATATCCCATGGCCTACCAAAAAAAATCAAACAGATATGTCTTGGAGAAGGTGCAGCCAGAGTGCTTCTTGGAGGCAAAAATGATAAAGTTTTGTCCCTTTGGACATGTTGCTAGGAGAGGCGATTCCCTGGAAAAAGATGCTTGGAAAAGTGGAGACAGTGAAGGAGAGAAAGAACCTCTTCAGGTGGATTGACACAGCGACTGCAGCAATGTGCTCAAGCGTGTCAGAGATTGTGAGGATGGAACAGGACAGGACAGGGTTCAGGTCTGTTGTTCACAGGGCTGCCCCGAATTGTACCTGATGGCACCTAACAGCAAGCCACCAGAGCTGCGTCATAGATAATGGGTATAAAAACACCTCTCTCGCAGGCTTGCGTAAATGTGTAGGAGAACATGTGTTGGACTCTTAGCGCAGTCCCCCCTCACGCCCAGCCCCACAGCTGTGGTTGGTTGCTGTTGAGTCAGCTCCTATTCATGGTGACCCCACATAAAATAGGACAAAGAATCACTGAGTCCTGTGACAGTCTCACCGTCCTTGGCCTGTTTGCTTTGGCTCATGTGTCAATTCATCTCACTGAATATTCCCTCATTTTCACAGACTCTCTACTTTGCCAAATAAATACAATGTCTTTTTCTGGTGCTTGGTCTCTTTTTTTTTTTTTTTGGTGAGAAAAATTTATCTTTAGAATTAGCCCGCTGGACTCAGTTTAGATGATCCCTATTTTGTTGGCAACATCCAAAGCATCATAACCAGGAGCAAGTCGAACATAGGCCTTCTTCTCTCCACCAGGCCTAATCAAAGTGTTGACCTTGGCCACATCAATGTCATAGAGCTTCTTTACAGCTTGTTTAATTTGGTGCTTATTGGCCTTGACATCCACAATGAACACAAGTGTGTTGTTATCTTCTATCTTCTTTATAGCTGACTCAGTGGTCAGGGGAAATTTGATGATGGCATAGTGATCAAGCTTGTTTCTCCTGGGGGCGCTTTTCCAGGGTATTTGGGCTGCCTTCAGAGTCTCAGCGTCTTAGGCCACTGGAAGGTGGGTGATGTGTGGATCTTCTTTTTATTTTTTGCTGTGGACGCCCTTCAGGACTGCCTTCTTGGCCTTTAATGCCTTTGCTTTGGCTTCAGTTTTGGGAGGGACAGGGGCTTCCTTCTTCGCTTTCACGGTCTCTTTAAATTAAGTATCTTCATCCTTACTTATAAGGAAAACTCTGATTGCATTTCTTCTAGGACAGGCTTGTTCATTCTTTCAGTTATCAACTGGATATTCTAGTGTTTCACTGCCAACACAGATCAAATGTATCATTTGGACACAACACATAGTGATCGTGTGATAAACGTATAATTGCGGGGTTTGGGGGGTTGTTTGCTGAGAACCTAACATAGGTTACGTGCTGTCGAGTCAGCACTGACTCAGAGCTGACCCTCCAGCTAGTTTACAGAGGCTGGAAATCGTACCAGAGATTTTCTGTCTTCCAAGAAGCAGCTGGTAGGTCCAAATCACAAACATGCCTTTGGGTTGGCAATGCAACTCCTTAGCAAGGCTTTAAAAACACTTTAATACATTAACTCTATGAACTTTGATAAATGTTGATAGTTATAGAAAGGCTTCAGGCCTTTTGTTCATAGGGTTGCTATGAGTCATGCTGGACTGGAAGGCAATCAACAACAACAATAACATTAAGTAATAGATGAATGAAAAGAGAAACTTGATGTTTTGTACCTTCTCTGGCCTTTAGATATTTTCCTTTGTTGGCTAAGGCATGGGCCTCAGGGCATTCCTTTATGGAATGCCCATGGAGCAGAGAAGAGCCATCAACATACTACATCTCCTCCAAAAAGTTTAGAAAGAAGAGTTGGAAGGAATGGGACATCGGAGACTAATCGCAGGGAGAGAAGGGTGACTGTGGCGGAACAAGTTCTGCGTGCTCCTTAGAGGCGAGCCTGGGGACACTTGGTCTCCTATGCTTTGGGCATTTTATCAGGGGGAGTCAGTCCTTGAAAGAAGACATCATGCTTGGGAAAGCAGAGGGTCGGCAAAGGAAAGGAAGACCCTCACCAGCATGAACTGTAACAATGTCACTGTAACAACGGGCTCAAGAGAGAGAGAGATGAGGATGGCGCATATAGGGTTACCACGAGTCAAAATCGCTTCAATGGCACTAAAAACAACGTGTTCAGATGGTGGTGTCCTTACTGGCAAACCTGAGCTTAGAAGATGTAGGTCCCAAGAGGAAAGAGGTGTGTCTGAAAGGGAGGAGAATCCCTAACCCTAACTCTATCCCTAACCCCAACCACCTGAATGCATCCAGTGATCTATTTGCTCTGCATTTCTTAGGTCCACTCTCCTATGGTGAATGAGTTGCTTTCTACAGAAAGTTCTACAGCTACTGAGCTACTGCAGACAGATTTCACAGCATCGGGGGCACCAAAGCATCAGAGAACACTAGTCCTCCAAATGAGATTCCAACAAAAGGGGCCAGTCCAGCTTCTGAGTGGAGTTTGATGAAGCCTTAAGAAGCTGCTCTACACTGCCCCCTCGTGGTGTTTTTCTATAGTAACGCTTGTCCTTCCAAATTCCGTTTTGCAAGTCACTTCACTAATCTGGATTTGGTTCAAAATCCAGAAACATATGCATCGGAGATGTATTATTTCTCCATACCTAGCCAATGTGTATGTTGAAAAAATCAGGATCGGTGGAAGACTCATCAACAACCTATGTTGTGGAGGTGACACAACCATACTCTGAATACAAAGAGGCTCTGAAGCATTTATTGCCTAAGATCAAGGACTACAATCTTCAATATGGATTACATCTCAATATCAAGAATACAAAAATCCTCACCACCGGGACAATAGGAAACACCATGACAGATAGAGAAAGGATTGAAATTGTCAATTATTTCATCTTAGTTGGATCCACAATTAATGCAACCCTTGATACTAGCAGTCTAGAAATCAAAAAGACATATTACTTTAGGGAAGTTTGCCATCATGGACTTCTCCAAAGTTCCAAAAAACAACAATGTTGGTTTAAAGACCACGATGCACCTGATCCAACCCATGGTCTTTTCAGTTACATGCCATGCATCTGAAAGTTGGACAATGAGTGTGGGAGAATCAATACCTTTGAGTTGTGATGTTGAGAAGATCTCTAACACCCCATAGACCGTCAAAAGAACAAAAAATACATCTTGGAGAAAGTGCAACTAGGGTGCTCCTTAAATATAAGGATGGTGAAACTTCATCTCACGTACTTTGGACGTGTTGTTTGGAAAGGCTAGTCTTTGAAAAAATGCATCATTCTTGGAAAAGTAGAAGTTCAATGGAAGAGTAGAAAACCCTCAATAAGATGGATTGACACAATGACTGTGACAATTACAGCCATTGTTTTTAGATACCATTGAGTTCAACTCATAACCTTATGAACAACACATCTGAACCCAGTGCTATCCTGAACCATCCTCATCATCTCTGGCACACGTGAGCCCATTACTGGTCACTGCGTCCATCCATCTCATTGAGTGTCTTGCTCTATTTTGCTGTCCTTTCACCATTCCAAGCACGATGTCCTCTTTTGAAGAATTGCTTCTCTTAGTAACATGCCAAAGTACGAGAGATGAAGCTTCATCATCTTTACCTCCAAGGAGCGCTCTGGCCACACTTTTCTCAAAACATACCTGTTTTTTTCTTTTGACAGTCCATGGGGTAGTCAGTCCTCTTCTCCAACACCACAGCTCAAAGGCATCAATTCTTCCATCACCCTTATTCCTTGTCCAGATCTCAGATGCATAGCAAGTGATTGAAAAGACCACGGTCTGAATCAGGTGCTCCTTGTTTCTTGCACAATTGATTTGTTTTCCCTCTGGCCATCCACTCTATAGTAATGTTCTTCTCAAATAACAGTTCGAATGTATTTTTGGAGCCCAGAGCATAGTAAAAGGTTGATAAATGGGTTTGGGTGGTTTTGTTGTTGGGTTTGTTTGTTGATTTTTGTTCTAGCATCTAACACAGACTGTTTCACAAGTATTTTACTACTTTAATAATTAACATGTGAGTGAATAAATAGAGAATTTTGAAGTTTTGTGTTCCCCATGACCTAGCTCCCTCTGTTAGCTAAGGTATGGTCTTCAAGAACCTGCCGTGAAAATCTCTGTAGAACTCCCAGGGGCCAGAGAAAAAGCCATCACCATAATGATATTACATCCTCTCCAAAAACAAGGGGGTGCATTGAAAAGCACGAGAAATGCATTTTTAATGGAACAAATGCTTAGTTGTAAAATATGTTCAGAGTATAGGATCTTTCCCTCCCTGGGACACATGTGCTCAGATGACTAATGTGAGTTCCAAGAGAAAACAGACATGATGGCAGGTGGGGGAGTTCCATAAGGGTCCTGGTCATATGACTGTATTCACTGTCCATTTGCTCTGCCTTTCTGGGTCC